AATGACCTAAAATTGTGTAAAAAAAAAAGAAGGTATTTTTAAGCAAGTTAGTACTGTTCGAGACAAAGAGTTAAAACAATCGCCCTGTATATTTTTATTATTTTTATTATTATTATTATTATTATTGTGTGAAAAATGGTATAATAAAATTTGGGAGCTTTAGAAAAACACATTAAAAATAAGTATGTAAACATTTTTATCCATGTAGGCTTATATCATAAATAACGATAGTACAGTGACACTAAATAGTGACTCATAAATTATTATGACTCCGAGTATGGTATACACGGCGACAATGGCAAAAATTATGTTTAAAAGTAATCGCGTCGAGAGTAACGAATCGGTGTTTTATTATTTTATATTCCATAATATTATATCGAAACCATTGTAAACAGCTACGACTTCTGCGCACGCCAAAAGATAAATTAAAATCTACCGGAAACGCTGTGCAGAACACGCAGTAATATCGCTAACGGCTTACGGGCCTTTTCGCATTTTTGTATATATTTATACAATAATAATAATAATATAATGTATAGCACATTAAAATTTAAAAACAGGATACGGAATTGAAAAACGATAATAATATGTTAACGATGAGAAGGTGGTGCGTATAACACTGTCGAAAATGGTTTCGTTTCGTTTTTTTTTCGTCGAGTTGTATACGACGCGTATAATATAATAATAATGTAGTCTCACGAGTTGTCGGTAGGTGAAACAAATTACGTCTGTACTCGGTTATAATACAATATAATGTTTTACACCGTAGGTAGGTAGTTAGGTGTTCGACGTTTCGAAAATATGAAAAATAAATCAAGTCATAATTCACGAGTGGGTATCGGAGAGGGAGAGAACTACGCTCGTTTCCCTCCGCAAAAATATCTCACGCCCGCGATGTAAATTAAATTTACTTACTATGCGTATGCGAAAAATGAATGTTTGACGGTTAGGTACGCTTTGGCGGAGCTGATGTAATTATAGCTCTCATTCTGCAATCAAAATAATATACGTTCACCACTATAGTGTGTTCCACGCCAAACCTATTTTACATAAAATCCATAGTACGCGAAAAACTTTTGAAAATTTACGCAGCTTACCGTATTTCACCCGTCTATGTGCGCCAATATTGTTATTTTTTCTCGTTTTTTCAATCGCCATAAATTTTTTACTCTCCCCAACCCCTCTGCAGGTTGGTTACCGAATTGTTTGATTTCATTTCGGCGTTGTTGTACAGCTCGCAGATTTATCCCTATCTCCGTCCCCGAGACCCCGGAAGTCTGATTACCTAACTGTTTTTAATAGCTCTCATTAATTAAGCTATCTTTTTATTAAATCTATATTATTATTCGTAAATCCTTAACGGATTATTAAGTCCATTGTAATAATATAATAATTGACAAAAGTCCGTTTAAGCATTAAAACAGATACCCATAGGTACTTTATATCAATAAAACATGTGTGCGCGATAATGCGGGCTGACGTATGGTAACTGAAGTGGACGTTATTTTATTGATTTTGGGGAAATAAGAAAATTTAAAAAAAAAAATGACAAATTGACAGTGTGCAAGGTATTTTTGTTTCGTAAGCTTTCTTTTGATACTTTACCGTGAAAACGTTCGATGATATTTTTTAACCTCCTCTCGACCGACCACTATAAAAGTTTATACTGTAATAACCCAGTTTTTGGAGTTTAAATGAGATAATTTTGCATGTTTGGAACACATTGTCCAACACACACACAACACGTTTAAGGCAAATGAAAAAAAAAATAAAGCATTAAAACTTAAAAACTGCGCACTTTGGCTTCGTAAAAAACAACACACGTGCAATATATTGAATTTTTGTTTATATTGTTAATATAATATTTAATATTTACATACATATTTTTTTCTTTTCGAGATTTTCGATCGAAGTACACTGAATTTAATATCTAAAATTAGGTTTTTGTATAATATGAACCGATTAAAAGCAAAAATCGTATTTTTTTTTGTTTCCTTAGAAACATATTAAATTATTATAGACATATACCATACACAAATAATTTTTTTATTGTTTGGACAATACAAACCATCTATTTAATAGTAAGCAAAAAATACCAAACGTTTATGAACTATTATACAACTCGTGTGTAAATATCATTGAAATTAATATTAAAATATAAGCATGCATACCTATATATAGATAGAAATACATTATTTTAATCTATCGACTAGCATTAATACATAATATTGTATTGTTATTATTATATGGTTATGGATTTATGATTTATAAAAACTATCTCTATTTAGTATTTACTGTTCGATTTACAAACATTATTATTAGCTTCGATAATATTATATTAATATTAGTAAACAAATATTATATTACTATAAAATGTATTTTAATATAACGATTTAATAAATTTGTTATACAATACAAATAAAAAATTTAATTTTTCAAAGAACTTTTGACTAGTGTGGATGTAATAATTGACAAGTAAATTAAATTATTTAAATGTCACAAATTTTGGTTTTAAGCATACATCTTTTTACTTTTTACAAATCCTTTTATTACACACAATTTACATAATTAATTATAAGGAAAAAATTACATACTGTATTTAGGTCTATAATTTTTTTTATCGAATGACGTAGTCAATAACAAATTATGGAAGTTTGATTTGAGGCGTTATAAACTTCATTAAACCGGTATGCATTAAAAAGAGTTTTCAAGATAAACGGATGTATTTCCGAGGGCATTAACTATCATTAAGAACGAACGACTACCGCGCCATGTCGTTGTTGTCGACGTCGTCGTCACCCTCGTCATTGTTAATTAATGAGAATTAGAGCGAATCTATATATTAAGTTTCGATAGACTCTTCTTCGCACTCGCACTCACCGCTCCGACGAGAGCTCCGCACGTCATGGTAAAAACCAAACAAACGCGGAGGGGGGGAAAAAACAAACCAGACCGTAACCGCGGTATCCCCGCTGCAAGTTGCGCGGCTCATCATTGCCATCTCGTATGTTTGTTTTGCGAACTAAATAACGAGCCATACACACACACACACACACATACAAACGCACACTCGTATACATTATATTTATACATATATATAGTGAATAGCATAGAGTTTGCCAGTCGAACCGTGAAATTAAACAGTCACCCTCCCCCGCTTCTCTTCTTGTCTCTTCCACTGCAGCTATAATACACACACACACACAAAATATATATACTTGAATTCTCTTTCACTCTCTCTCACCCTCTCTCACCCTCTCTCTCTCTCTCTCTATCTCTGTTCCGTCTGCTACCCCGTCACCGTTGTCGTACCTCGACGATTGGCGCGTTCCGGTTCGATCTCTCGCCGCCGCAGAAGAATAGCGGCCCAGCGCTCACTATATAATATTATATATACGCGGGCTGCTGCAGGACCGGGGTGGGCTTGTTGTAGGGGTCTGCAGCTGATTTATACGCCGTTTCGTTATGACATTCTAAAGGCTGTTTTTAAAAAGCCGTCCTTCCACCCACACCGCCGTTCGCTTTGCCCGCCCGACGGCCCGCCACCGAATTATTGGGACGAAAAATTCCCCGTCAATTTGTACCGCTCCCGTCGTCCCGCACCCAAGGCTGCGAGGGCACCCACTGGGCGCTCGAGATGAAATTAACGCACGGTTGGGTAGCCGAAAAAATTTATAATTAAATAAAAAGTCAACGCCGGCACCGTGGTATGAAAGTAATGGTAATCTGGCTGGATATTGATCTCTGCTTCGGCAATGTGTATACCGGTGGCGAGGCGGCTGCGTTAACCCCCGTGGGGCATAAAAGAAATCGTTCGTGAAATAAAATAACTCTCGATCGAGAATATAACACGAGTATTTGTTTTTTAATTGAAACCTCCGTAAAAATTGCGTCACGGCCGAACGCGCGAATTAAATCAAATAACCTGAGCCGTATTGTGCAGTTGTGACGAGACGTACAATTACCTCTCAATTATTACGGTTCAAAATTAATATATTATTGTATATTGTCATATTTTTTTTCTCCAATTATGACACACTTGAAAGAGTAAGGGCTGCTGCAGATTATATCAGCAATAGGGTGTTGAACACTCATCTCGCTCCGTTCGCATCGACACCGTCTAATGTTGTATTGTCGTTTCAAATTTAAAGCCAATTATCAAGTTTAATAAACGATTTTGAATCTGCATTTGTTTATTGTTATTGGATATTTTCATGTTGTATAGCCGTATAGGTACAAATTTTATTTTGAATATTTTCGAGATTTTTACCTTAAAGTTGTAGAATGAATGAACCTGAGCAGTGCGCTACTATTTAAAAAATATACATATTTATTAAATTAATTAATGGGTACCTAGTGTTTTATATTTTTAAATATACCTTATAATTACGATAAAAAACAACTTAAAACCATTCTTTTTATTTGTTGTACCTAGGTATAACAGGTATTTTGTTTACGATTTTTGAAAAAACAATTTTAAACAGATACTGTCCATATCTTCGCTTAAAACAATTAAATAGTTATATTAATAATAACTAATCATACCAGATCCGTCGGGTGTCTAATGAAGCATTCTGAATATTACTACCGTTACTATTGTAGTATATATAATATACGTAATTCATACAATAATCTGTTGTTCAGTGACAGAAGTGTAAAATCGTCTTATATTCAGAAAAACTAGCAAATACACACGTTCACTTCGCTGTATAGCCCAATAGACTGCAATAGGTGGAAATAATAGGTTGCAGCGTATTATAACATAAAAGAAAATAATACTAGCGGGAAACCATCAAGTTGCCAATTAATGGGGCGGGAAATCTTTTGTGTACGAACACCGTTGTAGAACATAATATTTTGTTTTCAAAGCACTGTCCGTCGAGTCGTAAGAAACATATTTTTTTAACAAACACGTTCGACAACTGTTCGACCTATGGTGGGTGTGTGACACGACAATAATATAATTATTATCCACCGTTGTTTGACCACCGCGAACAACTATGATCATTATCCACCGTACTCGGACCACCGCGAACATCCCTTTTACCGAAGGGTGAGGGTATTATATAATACCGTTTCGGTTTTTTATTTTAATGCATTATTAATATAATAATATATAATGTAAAGTCGTCTAGATCAGTGGTTTTCAACCTTTTTACTACCCCGGACCACTTTGATAATATTTTATAGGTCGCGGACCACCTTAATTGTACGAAGACCTTTTTTTTGTTCATCAACAAGAATACACAAAATTAATCAAAACATGTTCATTTTTGTGTTCACTTGCAATTGAAAGCCGAATCAATAATGTAGATACGAAACAAATTGGTGCGATAGTATACGGGTAATATAATATACAATAAAATTCCCAACACTATACTAAAAATAGTTCAGATAACAACACAATACGGACCGGCATCTCTTTAATCACGGACCGGCACCGGTCCGCGGACCGGCGGTTGAGAACCACTGGTCTAGATGGTTTGCTTATATTCAGAAAAAAACTCGCAAATATACACGTTCACTCGGCAATATAGCCCAACATATAGACAATAGGTGCAGTGTGCTATAACATAAAAACAAATAGTACTATCGGGAAACTATCAAGTTGCCAATTGATGGGGCGGGATATTTTTTTATGTAACAACGCTGTTATTGTAAAACATAATATTTTGTTTTCAAAGCACTGTCCGCTGAGTCGTAAGAAACATTTTTTAACAAACCCGTTCGACAACAGTTCGACCTATGGTGTTTGGCAAAATAATAATACTATTATCTATACCTACCATTCTTTGGCCACCGCGAACATCTATGATCATTATCCACCGTGAACATCCCTTCTACCGAAGGGGGTGCGTATTATATAATACCGTTTCGGCCTTTTATTTTAATGTATTCGAGAACACGATAATCGTGTTGTGCACAGCGTCTGCGGTTTACGGTTCTTAGCGCGAGCTATATATGTTCCTGAAACATAAGTTTTATAATACCGATCGTATTTCCCGAGACTAGAAACTACCCAAGGGCACCGAAAGTATAATATACGAACACATGCGGAGGTTTAGTTGAATTTTATAGGGAGAGGATTACAATTTTTTTTTACACTTAAATAGGCAAACACACTCACACGACCACACTCTACCAACGATGTTTTAATTAGTTTTGCGCTGCTTTTATCATTCATATTAACTAGATATAGCCTATAATGTGCATTAAACATAATATTAATGCACAGAAGATAATACAAATACCAGTTATCTACACAATAATAGTCAAACATAGTATTATTGTTTAGACGACGACGTCGTCACACAGTAATCACGGCTTGATAGGGCTTCCGAGTTCCGATAGTCGCCACTCGCCGTAATACATACTCCCTCTCGCAACTCTCTCCGTCCCGCGTTACTGTGCCGCGAACAACGGACGCGACCGGGTCCGTGATCCAAAAATCTACCGCGACCGATTCTTACCAAGATACCACATACCGAAAAAAGAATAGTTTTGTTACCGTGACACCGAGCACCAGAATTTGTATAGTGCGTTACCGCTTACCGTCCACCACTTATCGTTCACCGTCTACCTCCATCTGTTCACCTGCGCACCGTCTACCGTCACCCGCCACCCGGGACTGCAGCCGCCGTCACGGTTTTTATATTCATATATTATCTCTACCAATTTGTGTATTTTTATTTATTTATTATTATTGTATGTTTTTTATCTTAAATATGTTACCCATTAGCTGGCCAGCACTTATTGTGCCCTTTTACCCCTTTAGAAGTATTTTGTAATTATTTTAAATAGTAGGCCGTCAATCCGGCAATCGAATTTAAAGCACCGTGTTTATTGATTTACCAGGCTTCTAAGTAGAATAAGTTTAATTCCTTATACAGTCCACTATTCTCCGAAACAATTATAATAACGGCAACAAATTTATAAAAATATGATTAACTTTTTATTGAATACATAAAAAAAATGTTTTGATTACCTGAATGAGACGGTTTCGGTCAAAAAACAAAAAAATAAAAAACAGAATTCTCCGCAATTCCCTACCTATCCAATTTAATATAACCACTTGTATTGTCGTATACATATTGCCAAGTTATTGCAAATGTCGACTCGACGTGACGAACCTTCACGCGGAATAAGCACATTTCGAGTATATTATTATTATTATCGTTCAACACCGTCGTCTTCTTGACACCCTAGACGATAATACAATCATAATAATAAACATTATACAATACTGGCGAGAACGTCATTTTCCACGCATACCTATTATAGCATATATACATTATACGTATTTTGACAAAACTTAACGGTTTGATACGCCAAACGTCCGTCTCTTTTTGGCATTATCATATTATTATTACTATTATTATTATTATTATTATAATTATTATCGTCATCTTGCTCGTGACGTGTGTGCGTAGTGCCAAACAAACATTCCGAGTATACGCCGTAATTAGCTCTCGGCGGCACATGTTCAATTGCATTCTCTCTGGGATTGGCGTGTACATATTATTATATATTATGTATATAATATAATGTATACATAAATTCTGATCCTAAATTAATTCTAAAGTTTAATCATTTCTCCGTCAGCCCCTCGCCCATACCCGGTCAATACTCCAAAGTCCGCGCGCACAAATATATGCAAGTCGGTGGTGGTATATACATCCACGCGCGTTCTGCCTCCTGACAGTTCACTGCGGGGCCGAAAACTTTTCGATCGTCTAAATAGTGACAGGCCCTTGTCTATTACAGTACTAATCACCTTAGTGCTCCCGCCCTTTTTGAACGTTCATCCGTTCGTACTTCGTTAATTAATTAATAATAATATATAACATTGGTTGATTTGGTTTTCAGGGATCATGTGTACCGGCTGAACCTGAGCAACATCAGCCACTCCAGCTGCAAGGTACGTACAAACTGTTAATTATTCCTTAAAGTTCATAAGTAATGACCGAACTATTTTTACATTGGTAACTTATCACTGGATTAAAATAATTTGAAATAAGCACCCCTACGAAGGAACGTAATTTCAACCACCCTTACAACACGTTCTCGTCAAACTATCGCAAAAAGTATATGTACCTACTTAGGTACCTCAAATATAATAGTATACTATTACTTCATAAATTATACTTAAAACGTCTTAGAACAACACGTTACATATAATTACATACCTATCTATAGCGTGATATAAATGCTGTTGGCTCATCTAAATTTTAGCCGAATTTGTGTTTCAATATTGTTAAAATGCTTTCAAATCAACGACTTTTAACAAAATACCTATATAGGTACGTCTCATTTATACGGACACCTCTATAATATCACTTATCCTGCGCTAATATCAGAATACAGTGATAGCAGTATTGGGCTAAATAAAAAACTTGAACATTAGAATGTCTTAAGCGCCAAACACTTTTGTTCGATACGCAAAAACGATTGCAAAACAATTATTCTGAGTGTTTTTCACTCAAAACTATTAAAACTATTTGAAATTGTTAAATTAATGATAAACATGGGTACTTAAAGTACACTACAGAGATTAATGTATTGCAAATAATCTAATAACATTAATAAATTAAATTTTCGATCTTTGCCAAATTACTACAACAGATAAGATTATTTTAGGTAATATAGTATCATAATATCAAAAATATCAAGTGCCTTAATACTTTCAAGTTTCAGGATCTTAAAAACCTTTGCAACTTATTTATACCGAATATTGAGTAGGTACCTACTAATTTATAATATTAATTTCTCCAACACAATATCATGTTAATACCGTTTTATGGGTCCAAGTTGATTAAAACTTAAAGAGGAAATGTTTAGGGTTGTACTATAACATGTTTATAATATATAACCGAAGGTATTAGTTTTAATATACAAAATAAGCTCATAATTAAATAGAAAGCCATAAATATACTGGTATGTATCGAATATACCTCTATATATACCTACGTAATTATATAAAGTTTGTTACGTCTACTTATGGTACCTAAACATTTGGTATATACCTACTACCAGCTATAGTACATACCTTCAAACATTCTCGTATGTATAATGTATTTTAGCCTCAAATCTTTTTATAAAATATATTTTATGGTTTGGGTTTTTTTTTCAAATTGACAAATAAGCAGCGCCTGGGGCCATTATTTGGATCACATTCCGCACTATTTACCTAGTATTATATAGGTACGATGTATATTGTTTTTTTTTTTTTGACAAAGAAATGTTATATATATTTTAAAAGACGTATACGAACATTATTTATACTATGATTCTTAGTAAAATGTAAAATAAACAACTATTATTATGAATGGTATATCATGAACCCAATATTATTTTCTGAAACGAATATTGGAATAAAAAAACTATACAACTGAATACAGACTGACATAATATAATATATATGATGTGTTTTATATGTATATAGAACTCTAATTGTAGGTACCTTACTCGTATAGTCGTATACATTAATTGTATTGTAATCAACGAATACACGTTGTACAAAAAACGAATGCCATTTCCTTGTCAAATTATTTCAATTAAACTTCCTTTTTTTTTATTTATTTGTTATACGGTTCAAATTTTAGAAATATATTTTTATAATTAAAAAAAAAAAAGTATAGGTAGTACCTATAGAGTAGTCTTAATATCCGTTTTTGTTTTAATATCCTCGTTGCTTTTCGTTGGGAATTGTTTTAAGGAAATTATTTATTTACCTGAGGGGATATTTAAAGAGTTATTAATGCTAATAACTTTTCAGTTAAAAAAAATGCCTGACAAGGAGACGGTGAATAACAAGTAATAGGGAGCCTCCGGGGCGAGGAGGACGAGGAGTTGTTCCCGGCGTTTCGAACTAATTTCAAGTTGAAAGAACATCCCGAAATTAACGGCGCTCTCATTTACACGGTGAAGCAATTGTGGCAAATTAAAATCTTCAAAATTCTCGCTTCGGTCGTACATCAACGGTGCAACCTAATTGCATTCCCAGGCCCAGTGAGCCTTTGACCGCATGTAATTGCTAGGCATAAATCACAAGTCCTGTTTAACCTCGTTTGGAGAATATGGCGGAGGCGAGAAGTGGGAGATGAAAATTTCAGTATTTACGCCCATGTACGGCGAAAGGGTCAAAGGTCATAAATTTCAAAAGCTGCACTAGTCTCATTTATCGTTATTAATATTACATTATACATATTATAAAAAAAATGTACATATATATTCTATGCATATAATGTAAATGTTAAAAAAAAAAACTGAAAATATGATAAAGAGAAAACCCGACTTTTCACTCACCTGAGGCCATTTATTTTGAACTTTTATTGAATTAAATTCGTACAGTACACCGAAGGTGAAAAAAAAAACAATGTTACTGTACCGTACTCGTATATTTTTCTAAACAAGTTTAAATCCCCCGAGGTCGTCGCATCGCACCGAACCTGCACCATAAATCGTAATTAAAATAATAACTTATGGCCAGCAGCAGCAATGTAGGTACGTAATGATCCCAATACTACGCTGATACTTTGATGGGTACACACAGCAATATTTTATGTGGTCAACCCTTTTAGAATTACGGACGCTATAATGTTGGTCGGTTCAGGAATGTTAGGTACCGAAAATCCATAAAACGGCCAATACGTCTTTAAACATTTAAACCTATGTGGCTTCTATCCGCCTCGCCACCGTAATGATATAATGTAACGACCTAGCTATATATACCGTGTCCATCATTCCCGTACCCATATATATATATATATACGCACACCGAACAGCAATGACATTAGAGTCGAGGTCCTCTCCGTAATTCGTCCGATAGGAAACGGTTCGCGGAAAATGGAAACTTTTTAACCACCCTCCCCTCCCCCCTCATATAGGTACAGTGTCCAATGGCGCAAACACACAAAACCGCTAGTAATATTCCGTATCCGGAACCGGAGTAAAATAATTATTACGATTACAAATGATATCATAGCTAATAGCGACATGACGTAATTACAGTTCGCCGATCGTCTGTATAAATAATGTGTATTTCAAATTTTATGACTATTTATTGATGATATATAGGAATTGAAAAAAAAAATCAAATTTATTCCATGTTATCAACGGGGCTTACAAATTTATAGTGAAAATTTATCCGGACCGTTGTCGTTAACGTGCTATGTCCGGGCCCGTCCCCCATGATACACTGCACGGTGCACACTGTACATAAGTGGAATATAATCCAGAGGGTGAATTTTTAACATTCATATTATTATATTGGCATTTGAATAAAGTAGAAATTATTGTTATTATTATTAAACACTGTACCATTAGTCCGAGCCCTTTGTGCAAACATTTTATCGTGTTCCCATTGTGTATTTAACAATACCTATTTTTGTTCAAAAAATCTTACGATATTAACTTGCAGTATTCAAATGTTAATTATAATTTTTACTATTAATGAAACTAATAGCAATCTCCGGAATACGAATTATAAAAAAAAAAATCTACAGCTATAATTATATACTTGTACGATATTACCATGTTATTTTCGAACAATACACCAGTATAAATAATTTAATCACAATAATCATAAATGGAGCGTACGAAATTATATTATATTACACTAGACTAGTAATGGGGGTGGAACTATCGCGGTTATTCGCAGTCGTTTTTTTTTTCTCATTTTGATTTTTCTACCGATTGGTGACTTAAAAAATATTTTGAATAAAAACGATATTGAAATATTTTAATTTAATATGTCGTACAAAAGTTTCATCTGAAAACGTATTAAAACCACGGGTCGTATAACGTAATTTAAAGTTGAATCCGAATCATTTTACGTTTGGAATGTTTTAATAGAAGGAGATTCGTCATCGAGGTATAAGTACTTTCCGTACAAGAATTCGTTTTAAGTAACTATGTCGAATCTATCTCAGTCGTCTCGTTGCCAAAAACACGGTCGACGATTTGCTGATTTCCCCTAACGAAGTTTTGTCGAATGGTACAAATGAGAGTTAAGCGTTGGGGAGGAGGGTGCCCCAAGCGAAAGAAACTTGTTCGTCGCATGCATACGTTTTAGGTGCGCGAATACTTGAAACGGTCTAAAGAAGTTTACCGCATTACACTTTGCGAAATATGACAAACTACATTTGAACATGTACTCGTACCTTCATTAATTGCATTTAAAACCAAAAATTGTAAACTTTTGCTACCACCATTTTTTTTTTTTTTTTACTTTCTAGAGAGATATATTTCGGTCACACTAATAATTCATGCAAAATTTCGAGAGTAAACCATAGTGCATAAGTAAATCGTTTTCGGGAAATTACTGTTGAATGAAACTTTTTAATAAAAAAAATAAAAATGTCGTTAACTATTATATTGTTACCGAGTATTATACCTTAAACTTACTCATTTCATGACGTCAATAATACTATACCAGGTAACCTATACCTCCAAACCCCGTTGTACCTACAGAATCGTTTACATTTATATAAATACAATTACATTAATTCTCGATATAAGTTTAAAAAAAAAAATTATTTACGTAGGTATCATATACGTTCATTTTATAGTAATATAAAGTAATAATAATATATAGTCATGTGTGGAAAAAACTATAACCGCTCCAGTGACTGAAAACAATCAATTAAACAAATGAATGTACCTATGTCTATAATAACCATCATACATGCAATAGGCAGGTGCATCATAATATTATACGCATTTTATGAAAGAGAACAACAAATAAAAGTTTTGAAAACTAATTCAGCTTTACTGGACTCAAACGAAATTCATAATAATTATATAATTTCATTACACCTATTCTTACTACATGTTTTTGTCTGCAAATTAAAATTTTTCCAAACACACGGTGAGCAGGATAACGTGTGAAAATCAAATTTAACCAATTTAATGACGACT